ATTTATCTGCTAAGTACTTAATGTGTGCTTGGCTTTATTATTTTATATTGAAACTTGAATTTGTTGTCACACTTTATAGTATATAACTTTTTTATGTGGATGTTTCGATTGATTTTCGGATGCATGCTGTAAATGGACCTTGTGGTGAAGTTTTGAAGACGTTTATTATTCATAAAAATAAATAGTTTGCTTTAATTCCATCTGTTATATGCATTGTTTGTGTGTTAATATTACCTTGTAGTTTAGTTATTTTAATCCCATTTGTCATCATTGAGATAATTGTGTGTGGCTTCATCTCTTGTAGAGACATATAAGGATTCAGTGAAGGTGACACATTACCTGAGCTGCAGCAGTGCAACAAGTGTTAAAGCAATTACCAGCAATGTTCTGCTTGACCAGCATGTTTAAGCCAGCCAAACTGGTCAAATTAAAAAGTCATCTTCAAATCCTCTTCAACATGCAGTTGTCTGAGGAGGTATGCATATCTTGAGTTGTTTGTTTAATGGACTCACAATTTATTATTGCATAATAGTTAACCTGTGTACTTATTTGTTTTAGACTATACTATACATTTTTGCAACCAGTTATTGGTGTGATTATTTAGTTGTTAAATAATGAACAAGGAAGGTTTTTTTTGTGCCATTTACAGGGAGAATATTCTTATTTTTTGTTGCTTTCCAGTACATCTTGTCTTGGGAGCACCCTTTGATTTTACATCTGTAAGTAGTTATCAGTTAAAGTATTTGACCTTTATGATGTTGTAGCAGTTGATATTTAAAGATTTCTCTATGTTTGTGTCTTCCAGTGTGACATTCCAATCATGCGGAGATGGTGGACTCCAGATGGTTTGGATAACAGGCTATGCTTGTGAGGTATGTCTCATATCTATCTATATACACACATTAATAAGAAATATTAAAGTTACATTTTCCTTTAATATTCTGTAATGAAGGAGATCCCAGTAATCTCACAGAAGTTGTGAAATGGCTCCATTAAACAGACATCTGCTCAGGGGGCCAGGAAGAGCCTCTTTTCCTTATAATGGAGGAAGAGGACGAGGAAAGGCCCTCAACAATCTCCTGGAACAATCAGAAGCTTCCAGAGTGCCTTTCATATTTCATCTTGTGCTCAGGGGAGTTATTTTTGTAGGATTGTCATAACAAAAAGGGCCTAAGAGTGAATTCATTTGATACATTTTAATTTGAATTCATGCAAGATTGTCACAACAAAATGTGCCCAAGAATGAATTGTTCATTTTGTAAGTTTTCATGCAGGATTGTCATGACAAAATGGGCTTAATAGTGAATTGTTCATTTTATAAACTTCAATTTAATTATTGTGTACATTTTGATTGTTACTTTTAAAATTATGCTGCTGTTTGTGTGTG